GTCTCATGACAGAACACAGACCGGCTGAATGACGCTTTCATTTAGATCGCTAAACTCCAGCTTGTTTGTTTTTCAGTATTTAGTAGTTTTTGGTAAAGTTTTTATCTTTTTGAATACATTTTAGTCTCGTCTTATTTCGTCAACGAAATTGGATGTTGATATAGTCTTAGTTATCATTTATTGACCTTACTGTCGTCTCGCCTTCGTCTCGTCTTAAGCCCCGTTCACACCAAGAACGATAACTATAAAGATAACTATAAAGATAACGATATTAGCGTCCACACCAGCGAACGATATCGTCTGTTTATTCTAAGCGCACGTGCGTCTGCCGCTTTAAATTCACGAGCTCGTTACAGCAGGATGGATTCTGATTGGCTGTCAATGTTTGTATCATTCATCAGCTGGAAAAAAATCGTTCTGGAAGTGATTCCAACGTTTCTCTGTGCATTTATCGTTATAGTTGTGGTGTGGACTCTGCCATTCTTTAATATTGAGAACGATTTTTAGAACTATATCTTTATTGTTATCTTTAGTTATCGTCCTTGGTGTGAACGGGCCTTTAGTCATGGGAAAAAAGCTCGTCAACGAACATTTTTCGTCATAGTCTTCGTTAACGAAATTAACACTAATGCAATCAAACTTTTAGCAAAATTTGGTAGTTCTGTATGTTGTACACTCATTAATGACAATTTAAAAACAAAAACTGTCATTCATTTCTCATATTCATGTCATTCCAAACCCAAGACATTTTTAATGAAACCTGAGAGATTTCTGTCCCTCCATTGAAATCCACAGAACCAGAACTTTGACGCTTTAAAAAAGTTCATAAAGACATTGTAAAAGTAATTCATATGAACCGAGCGATTTAAGCCAAGTCTTCTGGATCACTTTATAAGATGAACAGATTTAATTTAGGCTTTTATTCACATATAAACATTTCTCAGCGCGCACACATAGAGCACATCAACTATGGTAAACACAAGCTCAAAGTGCTTGTTTGACACTCAAGAACCGACGAGGTTTCCATGATGTTGGAGAACTATAGCAGAGGGAAAGATAATGGAGACTTTTAGGTTGGTTTCTCAAACACAGATATTGTATTATAAAATTCTAATAATAATAAAAACTGTCCTTATTGGACCTTGCCTGTGTGAATCATTGTACACTTTTGTGCATAGAAAAAAGCAGCTTGGACACTCTAAATTCTAATAAAACTGTCCTTATTGGACCTTGCCTGTGTGAATCATTGTACACTTTTGTGCATAGAAAATAGAAAAAAGGACCCTCTTTCTTTTTGGGTTCAACCGAAGACAAAGTCATACAGCTCTGAAAATGTGAGTGACGAGTCTTGATGACAGATGGTTGAAAACTACAGAGATGCAGGCAGATAATGGCAATAGCACAGAAACGGCATGAGAGAGGTAGTTTTTATAGGAATATTTTGGCAGAGCAGGAACCATGTGGTGCAACAACGATGATCATGATTATAATTAATGACAAAGAATTAAACAAATGTGTGCTACCAGGAAGCCAGTGCATTTCAGGATAATTAGAGGCAGACTGGGACGAGAGGAGCGCGAGACACTCACTCTGTATTTGTAGCACTCTCTGGAGTGAAAGCACTCCGTTGGCATTGGGCGTCTGGAGGAGAGTCGACTCAGGAAGAGGCTCCTAAGAGAAAATGAGATGAAAAAGGGTGTTTTTGTTTTTCCTTTAGGACAAAGAGCACGTCATGCAAGACTTTGCCAGAAAAGTCATGTTAACATAACGAGAGAGTGCTCACTATTTGTTAACGGCAATGGTATAACAGGATTATAAAGGTGTAATAAATGAATACTTGTGATGGTATTTGGACAGCTTCTGCATGAAATCTGACCTCCAGTCCCAGCAGAGCGCTGACACAAGCCTCAGAAGCATCACATATGGCTGTGAGGTCGTGACCTCCCTCTAATGCTAGAACCACACGTCCTCCTGCTAACGCCATCAACTGCCGAGTCAAAAA